TATCTAGGAAATCATCACTTGTTCCAAGGCCATAAAGATTTACACTCATGTTTTCTAAGAGTTTTATAGTTTTAGCTCTTAGATTTGGGTCTTTGATCTAGTTTGAGTTAATTTTTCTATTTGGTGTTAGGTGGAGACCCAACTCCATTCTTTTCCATGTGGATATCCAGTTGTTTCAGCACGTTTGTTGAAAAGACTATCTTTTTCCCTGTTGCATTTTCTTGGCACCTTTGTCAAAAGTCAGTTGATCAAGGACAAATATTGTATAATTCTACTTGTATGTGACACCTAAAATAAAGTGGTAAAATTCACAGAGGCATAGAACAGAACAGTGTTACTAGTGGCTGAGAAGAGGCAGGAACGGGAGTTATTGTTTAACGGGTGTGAGTTTCAGTGTGAGATAGAATGTTATGGAGACAGGTAATGCTGTCGGTTGCACAACAGTGTAAATGTACTTAATGCTACTGAGCTGTATGCTTAAAAATGGTTAAAATGGGGCCAGCCCTGGTTGCCTAGTGGTTAAGTTCTGCACACTCCGCTTTGGTGACCTGGGTTCAGTTCCCAGGCATGGACCTACACCACTCATCTGTCAGTGGCCATGCTGTCGCAGCAGCTCACATACAAAAAGAGGAAGATTGGCAACAGATATTAGCTCAGAGTAAATCTTCCTCAGCAAAAAGAGGAAGATTGGCAATAGATGTTAGCTCAGGGTGTATCTTCCTCAGCAAAAAAAAAAAAAAGATAATGGCAAATTTTTGTGTTATGTGTATTTTACCACAGTAAAAAAAGTTAATTGACCATAAATGTTGCATTTATTTTTGGACTCTTAATTTTATTCCATTTATCTATATGTTTACTCTTATGCCAGTACCACACTGTCTTATGACTGTAGCTGTATACGAAATTTTTAAAGTAGATAATGTCAGTCCTCCAACTTTGTTTCTCTTTTTCAAGATTGTTTTGGCTATTCTCAGTCCTTTGAATTTCTGTATAAATGTTGGGATCAACTTGTCAATTTCTGTAAAGAAGCCAGCTAGGGTTTTGATAGAAAGAAATTGCATTAAATCTGTAGATCAGGGGCCGGCCCCATGGCCGAGTGGTTAAGTTCACGTGCTCTGTTTCGGCGGCCGAGGGTTTCACTGGTTTGGATCCTGGGCGCGGACATGGCACCGCTCATCAAGCCATGCTGAGGCGGTATCCTGCATGCCACAACTAGAAGGACCCACAACGAAGAATACACAACTATGTACTGGGGGGCTTTGGGGAGAAAAAGGAAAAATAAAATCTTTAAAAAAAAATCTGTAGATCAATTTGGGGAGTATTCTCATCCTAACAATATTGTCTTTTAGTCCATGAACATGGGATATTTTTCCTCTTATGTAGATCTTCTTGATTTTTTTTTAGGTGATGTTTTGTAATCTTCAGTGTATAATTCTTGAACTTCTTTTGTTAAATGTATTCCTAAGTATTTTATTCTTTTTGATGCTATTGTAAATGGAATTTTCTTAATTTTATTTCCGGATTGTTTATTGCTAGTGTATAGAAATGGAATTGATTTTTGTATGTTGATCATATGTCCTGTGAACTTGCTAAACTTGTTTACCAGCTCTAATAGTTTTTTTCCTGTGGATTGCTTACAGATTTTCTACAAGATCATGTCATCTGAAAACAAAGATTGGTTTTTTTGCTTCTTCACTTCCAATGTGGATGCCTTGTATTTCTTTTTCTTGGCTGATTGCTCTGGCTAGACCCTCTAGTACAATGTTGAATAGAAGTGGAGAGAGACGACATCCTTGCCTTGTTCCTCATCTTAGGAGAAAGCTCTTAGCCTTTGACCATTAGTATGACGTTAGTTATGGGTTTTTTGTAGATACCCTTTATCAGGTTGAGGAAGTTCCCTTCTCCTCCTAGTTCATTGAGTTTTTTATCATGAAAAGGTGTTGGGTTTTGTAAGATGCTTTTTCTACATCTATATGGTTTTGTCCTATATTCTATTAATATGGTATATTACATTGATTATTTTTGTATGTTGAAGTAACTTTATATTCCTGGGATAAATCCCACTTGGTCGTGGTGTGTGTATCCTTTTTATATGTTGATGGATTCTGTTTGCTAGTATTTTGTTGAAGATTGTTTTGTGTCTGTGTTCATTAGAGATTTTTGTTGCAGTTTTCTTGTGATGTCTTTGTCTGCTTTAGGTATCAGGGTAATAGGAACATCATAGAATGAGTTAGAAAGTGTTCCTTCCTCTTCTACCTTTTGTAAGAGTTTATGAAGGATTTGTGTTAATTCTTCTTTAAACATTTGGTAGAATTAACCACTGAAGACATTTGGTCTTGGGCTTTTCTTTGTGAGAAGTTTTTGATTACTGATTCAGCCTCTTTACTTGTTATAGGTCTGCTCAGATTTTTTATTTCTCGTGTCAGTTTTGGTAGTTTGTGTCTTTAGGAATTTGTCCATTTCATCTTGCGTATCTAATTTGTTGCCATACAGCTGTTCGTCATAGCCCCTTACAATTGTTTCTGTTTCTGTTAAGTCAGTAGTAATGTCCCCTCTTTCACTGCTGATTTAAGTAATTTGAGCCTGCTCTTTGTTTCTTGGTTCGTCTAGGTAAAGCTTTGTCAGTTTTGTTGATCTTTTCAAAGAACCAAGTTTTGATTTTGTTGATTTTCTCTATTGTTTTTCTCTTGTCTGTTTCATTTGTTTCTGTTCTGATCTTTATTATTTTGTTCCTTCTACTTTCCTTGGGTTTAGTTTGCTTTTCTTTTTCTAGTTTCTTAAGGTAGGAGGCTAAGTCATTGATTTGAAATAGCTTTCTTCTTTTTTAATATAGGCATTTTCAGCTATAAATTTCCCTATAAGCACTGCTTTAGCTGCATCCTAAGTTTTGGTATGTTGTGTTTTTGTTTCCATTCATCTCAGAGTATTTTTAGCTTCCCTTGTGATTTCTTCATTGATGCATTGGTTATTTAAGGGTCCATTACTTAATTTCCACATATTTGTGAATTTTCCTGTTTTTCTTTTGTTATTGATTTCTAATTTCATTCCACAGTGGTCAGAGGACATACTTACTGAGATTATAAGTCTTTTAAATTTATTGGGGCTTGTTTTTGGCCTAACATATGGTCTGTTCTGGAGAATGTTCCATGTGCACTTGAGAAAATGGGTGTTCTGCTGTTGCTGAGTGGCGTATTCTAGAGATGTGTGTTAGGTCTAGTTGGTTATAGTGTTGTTCGAGCCTTCTGTTTCCTTGTTGATTTTCCATCTGGTTGTTCTATCCATTACTACAAGTGGAGTATTGAAGTCTCCAACTATTGTTGTTGAATTGTCCATTTCTTCTCCAATTCTGTCAGTTTTTGATTTGTATATCTTGGGGCTCTGTTGTTTGGTGCTATGTTTATGATTATTCTATCTTCTTCCCAAATTGATCCTTTTATCAATAGAAAATGTCTTTCTTTGTCTTTAGTAAAACTTTTTATCTTAAGTTTTATTTTGTCTGATGTTATGAGAGCTATTCTAGCTTCCTTTTGGTTTCTGTTTGCATCATATATCTTTCCCCATCTTTTCACTTTCAACTTATTTGTGACTTTGAATCTAAAATGTGTCTCTTTAGAGCATATAGTTGGGTCATATTTTTTTTCATCCATTGTGCTAATCTCTTCCTTTTAATTAGAGAATCTAATCCATTTACATCTAAAGTAATTACTGATAAGCAAGGACTTCCTCCCGCCATTTTGTTTGTTATAGTGCTTTTGTTCCTCAGTTTCTCCATTACCACCTTCTTTTGTATTTAGTTGATTTTTTGTGTAGCAGGCAGTTTTGATTGTTCCTCACTTCATTTTCTATATGCTTTATTCATTTTCTTAGTGGTTACCCAGGGGATTACAGATGACCTCTTCAACTTGTAACAATCTAGTTTGCATTAGTATCAACTTGACTTCAATAATATACAAAGATTTTGCTCCTATGTGGCTCTATTCCCCCCCTCCTTTGTGCTGTTGTTATATACAGATCGCAGCTTTATACATTTTGTGCTGATCAACACAGATTTACAATTAATGCTTTATGCAGGTGTCTTTCAAGTCAGATTGGGGGAAAAAAGGAGTTACAAACAAAAAATACATTTACACGGTCTTCATAGTTACCCATGTGGTCACCTTTACCAGTGCCCTTTTTCTTCATGTGGATATGAGTTACTCTCCAGTGTCCTTTCACTACAGCCTGAAAGAGTCCCTTTAGTATTTCTCATAGGATTGTAGGATAGGTCTTCTTGTGATGAATTCTCTCAGTTTTTGTTTATCTGGGATTGTTTTAATTTCTCTTTCATTTTTGAAGCATCGCTTTGCTGGATATACAATCTTAGTTGACAGATTTTTTTCTTTTAGTGCTTTGAATACATTATCCCACTGCCTTCTGGCCTCTGTAGTTTCTGAGGAGAATTCAGCCATTAATCTTATTGAGGATCCCTTGTATCTGATGAATTTCTTTTGCTGCTTTCAGGATTTTCTCCTTGTCTTTTGACAGTTTGATTATGATATGTCTAGATGTGGATTCTCTTTGAATTTATCCTACTCGGAGCTCATTGAGCTTTATGAATGTATAGGTGAATCTTTTTCATTAAGTTGGTATACTTTTCGGCCAGTTTTTTCACGTATTCCTCTGCTCCTTTGTCTCTCTGCGTTTCTTCTGGGACTCCCCTTATATATATGTTGGTACACTTGATGGAAGAGACTCTGCTGTCTGCCTAGCAAGGGTGGAGGTGGGGTTTTGCAGCCAAGCAGCTTGTTCTCCAACTGACTGCGCTCAGAGGACATGGCCCAGGCTGACAAGTCTGCTGCAGGAAGTGAACAGGGGGCCTTCTGTGGGCCAGGGACTCATGAGGCTAAAGTTGAGGATATTCTCTGGTTAAGCCCCTCTCTTGGCGTGTCTTGACTAGGTATTTCTTGCTGGGGGATAAGAGACCATTGAACTAATGGGCTTGATTTGTTTTCTCTCTCTAGGTTCAATGTCAACAACACCATTCTTCATCCAGAGATTGTGGAGTGGTGAGTATGGCCTGTGGTCCCCTTGGCTGTTGATTGTGCTCAGCTCAGGGAGGTCAGAGATCCTGCTGTTCCTGCCCCCTTCTTCTCAGCAAGCCCCTCAGACAAGGTGGTCCCCAGAACCTCTTCTCTCAGCCTCTTCTGTTTTGTTTGTTTTTTGTTTGTCAGTTGGTCTGTTTTTCCAAAAGGGCATGAATCACTTAAATTTCTCTTTTCTTTTCCTTTATTTAGGAGTCTTTTAAAAAATCCTACCATGAGTAAGCCAAATTCATATAGCTCGGTTAAAGTGGATAGTGAAGAGAGTAAAAATAAACATCATACATAATCCTATTACTGGAAGGGTAAACCTGTTTTTCACGAATCACGCATGGGACTTGACTAGTGGGCATCACGTTGCGCGTGTTCTTCTGTTGCCTGCTTTCTCCCCTTGCTGATGCGAGCAGCCCCTGCCTGAGCACAGCCGGCTTTCTCAGGTCGGGCACCGCCTCTGTGCACCCTGGAAGTGGCCCCCCAACTCGAATGGGCCACTACTTTTTCCCTGAGCTGTCAAGTTGCTCTTGGATACCACCAGGACATTTTTTATTTGCTGCACTTATTCTGAATGTAGAAGGGAGGTGAGGCAGGGCCTGTGCCACATCATCCCCTGACTGGGAGGTGTGTGGACTCCTCACCTCTGAGCCTAAGGCCACTTGGTGAAGTGTCCCTGTCTGGTTGGGAGATCTCACTCACGTAGGCTTGGAGCTTAGGAACACTGTGACTGGAAGGACAATATGAGTCTGCTGGTGAGGCTGAAAGAAGCGCAGAGTGGGGAAGAAGAGAGAATGATCCAGACCGAGGGACCACTTGTTCAGAGGCTGGGGAGACAAGAGAAAGGGTGGTGGCTTTGTATAGCCGCAGTAGCGCCACACCCTGGGGAAGCGGCGCCTGAGGGCCATGGGAGAGACAGGCTAAGTCAACGTGGGATCAGCTTGAGAGAAATGGGAACCATGGGAAACCTTTGAAGGATTTAAGCAGGAGAATGGTAGGATCAGGTTTGCGTGTTTAAAAGCCATGTTGGCCTTAGGCTGGAGACTCAGTTGTAGAGCAAGAGGGGGAACAGGTTGCCAGTTAGGCTGCTGCAGGGTCCAGGTGGCATGGTGTGACAGAACTGAGAGTAAGCGGCAGTCAGGGGAGGTGCTCCTGGGAGGAACCCGCTGTGATGGCCGAGTGGAGGGTGGAGTTGAAGGTGACTCTGGATTTTTATCCTGAGCAGCTGGGTGGTGTGTTACCAACATGGGGACGGCTGGGAGAGGCAGGTGCTGTGGCAGATTGGGGGACTTGTTTGGGCTAAGTTGAGTTTGAGGCAGGTGTCAGTCAAAGAGGCTGGGCCAGAGGTGATAACCTGAGGGCTGTCGACAGGCATCGACACTGACCATTAGGGTAGCTGGTGGGCAGGCCGGCCAGCCTGGCTCTTTGGGCAACCTGGCCCAGTGCCCGGCATGGCCACACACTCTGTGAGGCTGGAGGCCTGTGTCCTTCCAGTTCACAGCTGCTGCTTCTTGTTTTTATGAAGTAACAAATGCCTAGCCCGTCTGTACTCCTAGTTGTCAGAATAAATCCTGGATGCTCAGGAACAGGCCCACGTCCACGTATGCCTTGCAGGTGCCGTTCCCTCCTGGTCGCTTACGGTTCGCATGTTCTGGAGACCATGGCTGGTGTGCGCCCCGGCGTCTCCCAGGGGATAAGTCGTTAGTTTGTCACTTCGGAACAAGCGCGCTCCAATTCTAGTGACATTTCCAAGGCTGCGAGGTGGATCTGCGCTCATAAGAATACTTCTCAACTCTATTAAACTGAGCAGCCAAAAGGACTTATTTGGCATTTGATGGCAGTAGAACTATTTCAGAAATGTCACATTGTCCTTACTGCCGCGGGGGTGTGTTTTAATCGCGTGGGTTCTGGCCTCTGGTGACTGCAGTCATTCTCGGTGAGACCTGTGGGAGCCCTGATCACCGCCCTGCTGGACTAACTGGAGGAAGTGTTCTGGGTGGAATGGCAGCAGGTCCCCCAGTTACGAGACGGGGGAGCTTTCCCTGACGTGATGTTACGACTCGTCGGGGCAGCTTTGGGCGCCTGTGTCTAAATACTTTTCTCATCCCCTCTCTCTCGGCCTCATAGAGAGGAGTTGCCTGGGGTAATGGAAGAGCCATCCACTCAGCCCTATCCAAATTCCAACCCCAGCCTGCCCCTTGGGAAGTCATTTAACTTCTCTGAGGCTCAGCTTCTTCATCTGTAAAACAGTCACTCACAGTGTGGACCTGAGATTCACTGAGCATCTCAGCCCGTTCGGGCTGCCCTACCAATCACCGTAGGCTGGGCGGCTTCTGGACCACAGGATTTTATTTCTTCGCGCTGTGTCCTCACTTGGCAGAAGGGGCAGGGAGCTCTCTGGGGCCTCTTTTACAAGAGTTCCAGTCCTGTTCGTGAGAGCTCTGCCCTCATGACCCAAGCACCTCCCAAAGGCCCACCTCGTAACACCAGCACACTGGGGATTAGATTCCAACGTATCAATTTGGAGGGAGACAAATATTCAGTCTGCACAGCTGAGCCTGTTTTCTCACCTGCAGAGTAGAAGTGAATTTTGTGCTGCCCCTCGTGGCTCCAAGGAGGATCCTGGAGGGTGGGGGCCTGCCTGGGTGTCAGCCTTCTCTCAGTTCACTCCTGGCCACTGGACATGCAGGGGTGCTGGAGCCCCCAAACGGGGCTTGTGTGAGGCCAGGGTGCATGGGCTGGGTGCTGGGGGCCGAGCAGCTAAGCTTCCTCCAGCACATGCCCTGCCCCCGACAGGCACCCCAGCTCCCTATTAGCATCTGGGTGGGGACTTGGGTGTCCTCCCGAGCCTGTCTGACTGGGAGGCATGAGCATCCTCTCCGAGCACAGGCAAGCTTCATTTCTCATTTTGGTTTGGGTGTCATTCATTTCCTTTCTGTGACTGCTTTATTGTTTTCCATTCTCTCAACAGTGCCTTTTTGATTTCCTGTAAATTCTTCCATAATCATACTCTTCCCCGCACACATGAGATCATAACCGATAATTTCTTTTCTTGTGCTGGGCGTTGCGGTTTGAATGTGGAGGTCAAAAGTTGAAACTTAATAAGAGCTGGCGTTGCACTTTGTGATTTAGGCTTGTGGTGCTGCTTTCCCAGTCTGCAGATGATTGAATGGATCTGAAGGTAGGGTAGGAATAAAAGGAGACGCTTTTGTCCTGTCTGATAGCTTGATGCTTTGGATTTTAGCTAAGTGCCTCTGAAAGCGTCACACAAGAGCAAGCGTGTCGGCAATTGCCGTGCGCCTTCTTGGGTTTTAAGTGAGACTCTGAAATTGAGTCATAGGCCGGTTTTAGAACTGTTAATTGCACCAAGCGAAGGTGTCCTGCATCTGTTAATCAGGCAGTCGGGTAACACATCTATTTCTACTCCTGGTGTTTCTGTGCACGGGAGGTAGTGAGGTGTGGATGGTCAGGGGCAGAAGCACACCAGCATCCTACATCCTGAGTAATGTGTCCCAAATTAGAAAAGGTACGTAGATGATGACCTAGATTCTTGGTGTGCATGTGAACAGTATTCCACTAGGGTTGCTGTCTTTGTCTCCTGATCAATCGGCATTTCACCTGTAGTTCATAGAAAGCCAAGGGGAAAGTGGGGATCCTAGGGCAGAGTGAGAACTTGACCTCCTGTGTGTCAGAAGGCGGGAGACAGGACGTGGGAGCATCGGGCAGAGAGAAGGGTGCGGCCAGGCCCTGGTCCGGGGTGTGGAGGGGGCCCTCCTGTGGCTCCCCACACGTGGCCCGTGTCTACTGGCGCCCGTTAGGTCTCAGGCACGCTCCCGCACAGCTGAGCCAAGCCCTCATTTCGTCATGGCTCTGGTTTCTTCAAGAGCACTTATTATTCGAGTCTCCTGGGGAAATATAATTCCACCTGGCTCCTTTTCTGCCCTCCTGTTCTGGGATGTTTATCCTGTGCAGCCCTGGGTTGTGGGGTGTGGAAGGAATGGTCCTGGGAGTCCTGTGGTGTTGAATTCTTGCCCGCCTGCTCCCACGGAACCATCCCTTACACATTCGTCTCCGGGAGAGGTGGAATTCCTGCCCCTTCTGATGGGTTTTACTCAACGCTGTGGGATTTGGATGCTTAGAGACTGATCTTGGAAATGCTCCATCCTGTCTTGCTACTGTTTTAATCAGTGGAGCATCCAGACCTCAGTTAATTGATGTCTTAATCCTGGGTTTATAACTCAGAGGCAGTTTTGTGACCTGTGAATATTTAAGGAGAAGAAAAAAAGATTGCACAAATGAATCTCACCCTAGTCCAGTTCTTGTCCTTTCCAGCCCGTAGCAGGGGACTCTGGGCCAGGCGTAGAGAGGCCCTCCCACCCCCCCACTGGTGGTTCCGCCTTCCTCCGTGAGCAGCCCCTCCATGTGGTGATGCCCGTGGGCATGGCCGTGAGCCCAGCACCCTGCATGGGGCCATGCAGTGCTTGAGTCTCCCACGCACACGTCAGGCACCTCCTCTTGCTGGTCGAGGAGCCTGGGCTGCCTCTGCCCGGGCCTCTTAAGTGGCATCAGCGTTGTCCTGTCCTGAGCCCGGGTCCTCCGATGCTTCATGGAGGAGGCGGCCTTCGTCCTCTCCTGGGGATAGAAACCTTGCAGATCATATTTTTAACCACCACCCCACACATCCTCGAGCCAGACAAGGCTGGGGTGATGTGACACTAAGCATCCCTCCCTCCAGGGTCCTCTGGGCGTACAGAGGCTGGACCACAGCAGAATCCTCCTCTCCTTGCCCTTTTGTGGTCAGGAGTGACGGAAACAGCCTCATCAGACTCAGGGCAGTGAATTCTTCCTGAAGACAGGGAGAAACTGTGCAGAATGCTGGGAGGTCTTCTTATTTTCTGCAGTAATCTTAAGAAACAGGTCCTGGCACTTGTGTCATGGAGATAACTGAGCCAGGCCTGGTGCGTGGGCCAGAGAGAGTACCCTGTGGATAACTGGGTAAGCCAGCACATGGCAGACGTCTATTTTTAGGGCCTTTAAAGCTTGGGTTAAATTGGGCCAGGCCAGTGCTCAGCCAGGCCGATTTTGTCAGAGAACGGCCTTTGTGGGATAATTTGGATAATTTGCCCTGGTTCAGTTTGATTTTTTTTTTTTTTTAATGTGACTGAAAATGTGAGTCCTGAGTAAACCAGCTAGAGGCCTAGTTTGTCATCTTCGCCAAAGTCAAATCAGAAAAGAAAGCCTGAGTCTGGGCCTCGATGGCTGAGCATGCTTTTCGTCTCTGCTGGGACGAGAGTGTGGTTTGGCTCCAGTCTCCTTTCTCCTGGGGCTGATGGCCTGCTCTTCCCAGCGCATCTCCAGAAGGAGGGGCTCTAGCTGCAAGGAGGGGGCCCTGTGGAGAGCCCATGAGGTGGCCCCTGGGCGTCAGTTCCTGGGGCTGCCTGTGTGGCTGGGGACGAGTCAGTGGGAGTCTGGGCTGCTGAAGCCTGGGGAGGCTGTGCCCTCATCCTGCCCAGGCCATGCCAGGCTGAGCCACATCCAACGCTGACCCGGTGAACTCCCCGGGCTGGAGTAGAGGAGGTCTCCTTTCCTTTCTGGAGTGAGCCATTATCTCTCCTGTTGGAAGCAAGGTGGTCTCCAGCATTGGTGCAATGCCCCGATGCCATTTCTAACCCGTGGTTGCTGTGTGTGTGCTCTGGGTCGGGCCCTGTTCCAGCGTAGGACCCTGCCCTCCAGGGCTCTGGGCCTTAGGAGGAGACATGAGTGAAAATGACAAGTGTGATAGCTGACTGAGGATTCCAACAGCCTGCCCAGGACCATGGAGAGGGGACTTAACCTGAGAGGGGGAGGGAGGATGGAGGGAGCCCCTCCCCCATGCTGAGAAAGGTGCCTTTCAGCTGGTGCTGCAGGATGAAAGGGCAGGAGCCAGTTCCAGGCGGCAAAGGAGTTGGCTGTGGGGGTGGGTGCGGGTAGGGGGTGGAGACAGGCAGGGTGGGGCCTGGGGAGCCTCATGCATCACCATGTAGACTTTTAACTTCATCCCAAGGACGTCTAGAGGCCCCCAAAAGGCTTTAAGCAAGGGAAAGCATGATCAGCTTTGCATTTCAGCATATCGGGGAGCACACAGAGCTGGGGATTTGGAGGCCAGACAAGGCAGGAGAGGTTGTCCAGGCTGGAGGGAGCAGGGTCTGGATGGAGAGGACAGAGGGTCTGAGAGAGGTTGTGGGGGTGGAATCGCAGCCCTTGGTTAGTGGTTGGATGTGGGAGTGATGGGCAGGCGAGAAGGAGGTGTCCAGGAGGATGCCCATTTCTGTGGAAGCAGCAGGGCAGTGGCAGAGCTGTGGTTTAAGATGGGGCATGTGGGCGGGTGGGAATTTCTGTCCCACTGAGTTAGAAGAGCCTGGGGGACCTGCAAGTGGAAGTGCAGCTGGGCGGCCTGTGCCAGAGGTGGAGGTGTTGGGAGAAGGTGCAGGGCAAAGCTGAGGGGCAGGGAGGGGAGGACCTTTCAGGGAGAGGAAGGAGGGGGAGCAGGTGAGTGAGCCATGCCAGAGGGGGCAGGGGTCACTGTGCCTCTTCCTCTGAGAGGTCACAGAATGCCCCTGGATTTGGCAGCCTGGGGTCATTATTCCACATGTTGCTGAGAAGGCGGCTGGCAGAATGGTGGGGCTGAAGGGAGAAGAGGAGAAGGGAGAGGGGAGAGGAGCAGATGGAGAAGAGGTTCGAGGTAAAACGGGAAAGCTGCTCTTCTTCCTCCTCTGGAGGCGAGGACTGTTAGGGTTTCCTGTCTGGAAATGTGCGAGGTTGAGCTTGGCTGGAGGAGGAGGAGCTAAGCCAGTGCTCACACAGCTTCCAGTAAGAGGGGCCGGGGGCTGGAGTAGGTTGGGCTGGGATCTGAGCCCAGGTGTGTGTGTTGGGGCTGAGCCTCATCGGAAGAGGGCATGGCACCCCTTTCCTTGTAAGTCAGGGAGGGGGGAGGGGAAGGCTTGGAAATTTGGTGAAGAGGCGAGACTGTGCCCACCTGTTGGCCTCTGTGTCCTCAGTGAATAGGAGATGAGTTTGTTATCTGCTGAGAAGGGGAGGGGGCGCTAGGAGATCTTAGGAAGGGGGAAGTTGAGAGTAGCCCCCTGCAGCTCATGGCAGAACTGGGGTCCTGCCTAGGCCGGGGCTGGGCTGGTGACTAGGAGCTTGTCGTTCCGGCTGCCCAGCCTTGGGGTTTCCCCACAGCCCTCGGGGCCCAGGAGCACACACAGCAGGCACAGGCCCTGGTTTGTCCCTCATGGCGGTTTGGCCAAGCCCATGTGGATGGATGGGCACAGGGCCTAGGAGTCTAAAATGGTGGCTGGAGGGGTGGCCCAGGGATCTAAGCTGGATGGAGAGGCCAAGGTCTTAAGGTAGGTGCAGCCTGGGCTGGCGCCCGCCTGCTCATCACTACATTCAAGAACAGAGGGGCCCACTCCCTGCTTACCGGTTCCTCGGGCTGGTGCTGAGCATGGCCGCAGTGGGGAATGAGGCACCAGGGGCTGGTAGCTTACCCTCTGAGCGGATTTGGACCTCAGGAGCCTGATCTGCTCATGAGTCCCACCCTTGGCTCTGACCCTCATCCTCCAGGGCAGAGGAACAAGCTTTCTGTCCCCCAGGTAGGACTGCTCCAGCGCCCTGCTGTGGAGTCAGAGGCCCCCTTATGATGATAAAGAGCAAGTTCTTAGGCTTCGGGGTCTGCCGCCTCAAGAAACAAGGGGCGTTCACTTGGAAACAGTCTCATGGGGCTTGGGGTTTGTCTTCCACGTTGCCCAGAAGGTTTATGGTCTTAGGAGGGCGTCACTGCTGCAAGATGCCTTCCTCACTTCCTGGTGACAGGTGGCTGGCCGTCCCAGCCAGGTGGCAGCGTGGAGGCCATGTGGGCCAGTGGCTGGGTCGGGCTGCTGCTGTGAAGTCCGGAGGGTCTGCTGCCTCTGATGGCAGTGGCGGTGCCTTCCCTGCCGTCCTTGGCCTGTCTCAGCCGAGAGCTGCTGAGGATGGCAGGCTTCAGAGGACGGACAGTGGCTGGACGAGAGGCACACTGTGCATGAGGGGCAGGCGCTGTCTGCCATCCTCAGACTTCCGGCTTTGCTGGTCTCGAGGGTGGTTGAGTGTGTTCATCTTGAGAAAGGGAGACGGCCCTGGGGGAGCCTTGGTGAAGGTGGGTCACCTTCTGTGAAGGGAACAGAGCCGGCCGTGAGGGATGCACTGAGGACTCTGCACTCCTCATGACTGGGCCTGGCTGCCACTGAAACATGCGTGACTTGGAGGTGCTTGTTTGGAAGGTAGAGGTAGAAAACATATTTGTGTAGTTTATCTACGTCAGTCTTACTTGGGGATGAGATTGATTACAAAGACCAGAAACCTGACCAAATTTAGGCAAATTAACATGAGTTTATTGTGAGGACCCCAGGCACCCCCTGGAGTCCAGTTGCAGGAGGCCCAACTGAGTCTGGAAAGGAAGTAAAGTCTCTTGGCTGTGCCTGCCTGCCCCCCATAACCCCCCTCTCATTGCTGTGTCTCTCTTGTCTGCTCCTGTTCTCCTGCATTTCTGCAGACCAGCTGTTTCCACATTCATACCTGCACTCATGGCTGGAAGTGGCCAGACCTCCCCACTCCATCCAGTCCCTCCCATCCCTTGTAGTCCTGTCCCATCCCCGCCCCCCAGCCCCACCCCCACCCCATCTCAGGCAGGGGCCTGAGTCACATGGTGTTCCTGGGCTGTCCCTGGGCAGGTAGGTGGGGGCAGGGAGGACACGGGAGAGCTCTTCAGCCAACTGCGCAGAGCCCTGGAGTCAGCACACGTAAGCTTCAGGTCCAGCAGCCTCACCATGTAGATTGTACCCCCATTCGAAGGATGAGGAAATAGTGTCAGTGAGGCAAGATGTGTCTGGCTGCAGAATCTTGGCTTCTTCCAGCACCAGAGTGGCTTCTAGATCTTGAGACTGGAAACAGCTGCACACCTGAGGCCGCATTAGGGCAGGACGGGCCTGCTGAGTGCAGCTTATCACTCCTGAGGCTCGGTGGCCTACCCTGCCAGCACCCCAACACCGGCACCTGGCTGGGCCCACCCTGGCCCTGTGCTCCTTCCCAAGCTGGGCAGTGTGGTGGGCCCCGAGGTCTCGCTGCGGGGGTCCTGCCAGCCCCTGCTGGAAGTCACTGACTTGCACTTTCTTTCTCTCATCTCTGAAGCCGGGTCTTTAAGACGGACATGGAGCTGGAGGTCTTGCGCTACACCAATAGGGTCTCCAGCGAGGCCCACCGGGAGGTAAGCCGGGTGCTGGTGCGTGGGATGTGCCGTTCTGGCTGGGTCGGGCAAGAGAGCAGGGAGCAGGGTTGTGGTGGCGCTTGTCTCCAGCGTCACAGCACGCAGGAAGTGTCACATCAGGCTGGAGACAAGGTGATGGGGCCAGGCGGGGGCAGCAGAGGCTGTGCCCCAGTTCCTCACTATGAGGCCCCCCTCAGGGACTTTCCCAGAGAGAAGTCGCCGCTTCAGGGGGACAGAGCTCTGCTTAGTGGCACTCGGCCATCCCCGCTTCTTTCAGAGAATCTTTGGTCCATAGCCGTGATTCAGGCACATTTCACACTGTCGTCTGTTTTCTGAAAACATCCCCATGTGGGTGTTCCCCACACCGTCCACTTCACCTGAGGAGCCATGTAGGGAGGTGCATTTCCTGAAGGGCATCCAGAGTGTCTGGGGAGCCCGGAGCCTGCTTGGTGATGGTCACAGCTTTGTGACAGGAGACAGACAAGGGTCGTTTGGGCCACAAAATCTCTCGTATGAGTTCATTTGGTCTGTGTTTTATGAAGTTAAAGGAGACCTTTGAGTGACAGTTGTCGCAGCCTTCTGAGCCATGAGCACGCGCCACACACACCTTTGCTGGGTCTCCCCGCCCTGGCCTGCCGCCCTGCTGGGTGTTGGTCGGCTTCTGAGCGCCAGTGCTCCAGAGCGGTGTAAATAAACTGCCTGGCTCTTGGAGCTTTAAAAACGTTCTAATTTGTCACATTTCTGCACCACTGTGTGCACATACCAATTTTTTTTTTAAAGAGGAGATTCTTTTGGAAAAGTTCCATACATTATTTACAAGGCATTGTTACTTATCTCCTTAATACAAATGTCTTCGCTTAATGTCTATCCTCCAGGTAATGAAGGCTGTAAAAGTGGGAATGAAAGAATATGAGATGGAAAGGTAAGCTGCCGTGTTGGTCTGGGTGCAGATTAAAATGTGAGAAACAGTGATTTGCGTTCCCAGATGAAGCTCCGCGGAGACAGGTGCAGGCTCAGTGGGGTTATGAGCGGGGCCTCGGCATCGTGGGCGGAGGGGGTTTTCTGGCCGGCTCCCTGGCTCTGGGCAGAGTGTTTGACGGTGATGGTCTTTGATTACTTTTCCGCGTGGTTTAGTGCCCCATCATTCCACTCTCGGACTTCGTTTCTGCAATTTGCGGGAAACTTTACCGAATAGCTGCTATTGTGACTCTGAAAGCCTCTAGTAAAACAGCTTGCCGATTTTATGTGTAAACACTGCCATTATGTCTCCTGTGGTTGGACAACTGGGTCTCGGGATGGTTAAGTGGCTCGTAAAGCGTTCTGGAGAGCTCCACGCTTGGGCTTAGCTCCAGTTAGGCCTGCAAGAGCCAGTGCCACCCATCCGGGTGCTTCCCTGGCACGCAGCCATGACGGTGTGGCCTGGCCGGCTCCTCAGCCCCACGCCAGGACCCAGGCTCAGCATGCTGCTGCCCACGGCTTGAGGAAGCCCTTGGGTCAGAGCCAGACTGCCCCAGTGGCTTGCACCCACCCATGTCCAGGGGCAGGAGGCCCCCATTCCAGGGTCTCCCACGAGCGGCCTCACCGCCTGGAAGCTCCCCTGGGGAGGGGTCACTGAAGAGGCTGTCATTTCTACCCCTGTGACATAATAAGAAATATCTATTTGGTCTCTGCCCCCAGTTCCTGGCAGAGAGTTTCTCAAAATCCAAGGAATTCCCTCAGGGATGGGGGGGGGGGCGGGGAGTGTCTTTTGTTATTTGTAATAAGCCCCTTTCAACCAAACCTGCGTTTATGCTAATTCGGGGACTCTTGGAGGCTGGGGCTGGTTGCCCAGGAACCACCCCAGTGGTTATAGGGTTGGAACTGTTGGTTCCATCCCGGGCCTCCAGGGAGAGGGGAGGGGCTGGAGGTTGAGGTCTGACCCAGAGCGGAATCAGTCCTGCCTGTGTAATGGAAGCTTCCGGGTTCACGTGCTGGGAGGGGTGCGCCTGGAGAGGGCGTGGAAGTTCGGCACCCTCTGCCCCATGCCTTGCCCTGTGCATCCCTTCCATTTGGTCCTTCCTGAGTTGCATCCTTTACAATAAAGTGGTAGGAGTAAGTAAAGTGCTTTCCTGAGTTCTGTGAGCTGTTCTAGCAAATTATCAAACCCAAGGGGGCATCATGGGAAACCCCAATTTATAGCCAGTCAGTCAGACCTTGTGACTGATGGGAGGCCCTGTGATTGGTGTCTGAAGTGGGGACAGTGTTGTGGGACTGAGCCCTTAACCCGTGGGTCTGCACTGGCTGCAGCCGTTAGCGTCAGAATTAAATTGTAGGACGCCCGGTTGGTGTCCACAGAGGAGAGAACTGCTTCACGTGGAAAACCCGCACACTGGGAGCCAGAAGTGCTGTGCGTGCGGCGTCACCTCTTACCTGCCCCTCCTGGCTGTCCTTTCCTGCTGGGGCCTGTGAGAGCTCGACACAGCGGCCCCTTCCCCACCTTGCAGGCCCAAGTCGCCCAGGGCCCTCAGGGCCTGCTCTGCTCCGGGCTGCTCCCAGCCTTACCGGCCTGCCCGCCGTGTGGTTGCGGGCTGAGGGCGGGGTGGGCATTCGTGTTCACTGTCATGTGGCTTGGTCAGAGTCCAAGCGAACAGGAGTCCTGCTCGGGACCATCTGTATTTCTCCTCTTACCTGCACCATAGGACGGGCACCAGGGCCTGCAGGCGTGCGCCGGAGCGGGCCTGGAGCAGTGCTGCCTCCAGGACGCAGGTGGGCGGCTGGGCAGGCTGGGGAGTGGCGTGCCGAGGGCCCAGCCGCGGCCTCCTGTGGCAGCGCCATGTCTGCCCTGGTGTTCTGAGGCTCTGGGACAGGACAGTTCTGCTGGGCACCTGGGGAGATGGGTCGGGCAGTGGTCTGTCAGATGGCCACTGCTCCAGAAACCTGTTCCCAACCGAATCGGCCCATCGTGACCCACGGCCAATGCCTCAAACAAAGGTAACGCAGGAATTGGAGCGGGAAGAGCTGGCCCCAGTGTTCGGCCCTTCTGTCCGCTGCACCCAGGCAGCCTTGTGCCCACGCTGCAGGGAGTCCAGCTCCGAAGGTGGCTCCTGGGAGGGGCCTAGGCTGCCTCCTGCCCCGTGTCCCAGAGCCTGACTCTGCTGCTGCCTGGACGGGCCCATGTAAGTTCTGGGTCAGGGCCGGGGCCCTTGGAATAATTCCCCCAGCTCCCAGCCCCCCATCCCCAAGAATGCAGATCTTTCTTTTCCTTTTAATGGGAGATTTCAAATATCCAAAAAAAGGGGCGGATAGTATAATCAATCTCCAGGTCCCCATCAGGGTTTTTTGTTTTGTTTTGTTGGAATGTTTGAAACCAAGTCCCAGACATCATGTCATTTCATGTCAGTAGGTGTCTCAGTTGATGAAGGTAATTTTTTCCTTTACATAACCACCATGTCATTAGCGCATCTCAGCAAATTAACGATAGTTTCTTCATGTTATCAGTATTTAGTCCCTGTTGTCTAAAACCACCTCTCTGGAGTTGATCTCCTTGCCTTTGGAGTCTCCACGTTGCATTTGCTGTTGTCTGAAGGAGGGTCTCTTGCGGCCTGAGCTCTGAGATCTCCCCTTTGTCTTCAACCTGCTCCCCTCCCCTCTACCCACTTCCCCAGGTTGGCTCCACTGCTGCCTCTTCTGAGCAACTATGGGTCCCTGCCAGCAGGGACGGGGTTTCCTGGGCCGAAGTCTGGGCATGGGGTTGGGGACTGCTCCAGGGAAAAGCTGAGGCAGGGGCGACGAGAACATGGGGCAGTGTGTGTTCCGGAAGGACTGGTAGGTAGGGTGACCTTTCCGGGCAGATGGTGTTGCCCCCAAAGATGGTGGGAAGATGATTGTCCTGGGACATTGTTGCATCTTGGGGGGGGGTGGTCCCTGGCCAGATTTGAGGAGGGTACCCCAACTCCCAGTAGTGGCCAGAGCCCCTGGGGGCGTCTGCAGCGGTGAGGTGGGATGGCTTCTCCACCTCTCGCTCCCTCCCTAGGAAGCTCGGGGACAGCATTTTGTGGTCTGTGTCCTCGGGGGCCTGGAGGCATCTTCTTGGAGCCCCCGTCTTGTTTATCCAGTGTCCACCCCACACTTGGTGTCAGGAAATAGGTGTGGGTGGGTGAGATAAACGGACGGATGTGAGAGAGAAGGAAACCACCTTTGTGCCACTGTGAACTTCACCATGCTCTTCTTAACCAGGCAGAGAATATAAAATCTTGTCTAGAGCAGCTGGTGGCTCCCCACGGGCTGTGGCCCTTTAACAGAGGCTGCACAAATGTCCGGGAGGTCCCGGGCAGCCAGACACCTGTGCAGGCCGCCAACCCATTGGGCCAGAACCTGCCGGACGTTCTCCTGGGAGCATGGCCAGCTGCAGCCCCCCAGAGGGACGCAGGGCAAGAAGGGCAGGGACTGGAGTGTCAGGACTGGAGGCAGGACAGGGACAGGGGGAGGGGAGAACACGGGGCTGATTTTCTCAGAGAAGGGCCACCCCCGAGGCACTGGTGCTCAGACTCAAGAGATGCTGGCCAGGACCCCCAGTTCTAAGCCTCATCTTTTTTTGGTTTTGTTATCAAAAGCTTGTTATGAAATCTTGAGGGCACATTGAAAAAAGGAAGTGAGCTGATGGCATTTATTAAGACACGTCCTCCTTTGTGCTGTGCCGTGAGTGGAGTGCAGAGGAAATGAAAATCATTTTCCACAAGTGAGGTGTAGTAAATTGTGTTAAACCAATAAGACGTTAATGTTTGGGTAAATCGGGCGCTAACAGCCTCTGATGCAGGCCCAATCAGGCAGTCCATTTCACCGCATCGTATTATTTAATGTTAGTGCCGTAACCGGCTTGTAGCCGGCTGGCGTGGGGCTGGCAGCCGAATCAATTACCTGCGAACACTAATTTAGAGCATGCTCAATTGGCTGTGTAAGCAGGTCCCGGTTCACATTTGCCACACGGAGATTAATAACTTGATGTTTTTGACAGCCCAGGACCTTAATTGAAATTACGCTCTCTTTCTCTTCAAGCTGTGAAGGGGGCATTCGGGGCCCTTTCCTGACAGCTTCTATGGGGTTTGTGGGAGTCATTTGAAAGGCAGAGGGTCTGTGAGGTGTGCCAGGGGACAGCACGGCGCTGTCCTCCTCCCCGGATTGGGCTCCTTCTTGGCAAACACCCCCGACCCTGTCTGGAGACCTCACCAAGGCCTGGCTTTTCCTGTGCTCTTCTGTCACAGGCAGCAGCTCACAATGCTAGTCTCCTGCTTCCTTTCCGTCCTTTGTTACTGGAGAACTTGCACCGCTGTGCCACTCTGTACTCAAAGTCTTGTTGCTTTGCCCTTTGGCCAGAAGGAGCGAGTCACAATTCTGTGTGTTCACTGTGCCCCCTGGGTCCAGTTTGGGGGTGGGTCTTCTCCCCAGGGCTGGAGGGAGGGGTCTCCTTCCCCCCAACCACCCCCCCCCACACCCTCCTCACTCCCCACACCAGAAACACACACACTACCAGCACACACCATACACACACTCTACGAACACCTTCACCGCTCATACCACTCAGATACCACACATACCCCACACATACACACACTCACGCACCATACATACACCACACACACACCCCACACCTGACCACACACACATACACACCACACCACACATTTCATCCAAACCATGGGGTGCTGGGTCAGGTGGTTGGTCTTTTAATTAACCCACCCCAGGGAGCAGGTTGCAGAACCCTCGCTGTGTTCTTGTTAAGCAAAGCCAGGATTTTCCCCCCTTTTTTGAGGATTAGCAAATTTCACTCCAGTGAGGAGAATTGGAGGGTGGGAGAGTTTATTTACAGGCCTCACCCGTGGTGACTGTGACTGCAGAGAGCACAGGCAGGTGGGCAGGCCAGGGCTTTTCTCTGTCCCCTGGCCT